GAGTTCAGCTGGATCAGAAACTCACAGGTGTGTTGGTACTCAGGGCTGTGACCGTTTCTCCTGGGTGAACAATACAAAAGGCAAAGAGAATGTTGTTTTTATTGTATATGCAGGATTTATTGTTAATAATGTAGAACCTAAAGCACGGGCTCGTATTTTAAAATGTTCAATCTTATGTCAATGTCATTTAGAATTGTTTTTACAATATCTTGAGCACTCCAATCAGTAGCCCAAGTCAAACGAAAGGACTTCTTCAGGATCAACAGCGAAGCACCAACCCGAACACAAAGCAGAAACTATGGGGAAGGACTGAGGCATTATTTTATATAAAGGGCTATGAGAGTCTGGACCACTGGACCATGCATGCCTTTCAAGCTGTGAAGAAAAACACATGCCTGTTCCTAAACACTGAAAAACAGAAAACATCATTTTAAATACACAGATCTGTTAAACAATGAAGTAAAGGGAAAAGTGTATTTTTTATTTAATGGAAGAACTCTGTGAAGATTTCGGTATTATCAGTCTTTAATTATTTAATTTGCAAAATATATAGTAAAGGCTTTGTATATACTGTATAAATATTTTAACAGTACATATGTGTGTTACTGGCTTGCTGCAAACAAACATTTTTCTCATTTAATGTATTTATATATTATATTATATATAATATTAGCATACCATTATTGGACAGCATACTATATTATACAGCATGGATGGCTGCAGTTCTCAACGTGAAGGAATATAAATGAAAATCAACCCATTGGCCAAATCCTATTTGGTGGTATTAGCCAAAGTGTGTTAATAACTTCGATTATGTTTTATTTCACTAATGACGTGGCAGCGGAGAGTTTTGTTTCTTTCGTGTATGAACAATGACCCAGACAGTTTGAAAATTTAGTTATTGCAACGTTTTATGAATCTCCAGTTTATTTTACAAAGAGTTCATACCGGATGCGTGTCGTCCACAAGGTGGCAATGCAGCGCCTTAAGCGGATTGATGCTGCCGACCTATTAGCATGACGTAATTAACATGCGACAGAGTTTTGGACGCGAACTACCGGAAGCGGAGGAGAGGCTACTACTAAGTTGTAGCCTGTAGCAAGAGCAGTTAGGGTGACTCTGGACACCGATCCATTATAATTAAACTCCTAAATTACGGTCTAACCTCACGTAATACTGGGACGTTATCTTCAGTCCCGACGCAATGTTTTTGTAATATACATGTCTTAAATAGCAGTAGTTGGAATAATGATGCAATGTATTTTAACGCGTGGATGTCAGCAGTCTGTAACTCGTAGGGAATACAGTTCCCAGTTTTAGGAGTGATGTCCCAGATAAGTGGACATGATTGTATTAAAACGTAGAAGGAGCTCAGTAGGAAAACACAGTTGCCGTAGTACGTTGGAAATGCACACCGTGTTTTAAATGGAGAAACGACGCAGCTTGTGCGATTCGGAAAAACTGCCGATTTTCCAACATAAGGACAAGTTAGTCCGGGCAGTGAAAAGCAATACTTTCCTGGTCGTCACGGGAGAAACCGGCAGTGGGAAAACAACCCAGCTCCCGAAATACCTGTATGAAGCAGGTAAAACGCTTCCCGGGAAACCTCAGTTGCCTCAAGGAGAGTATTACAAGAACGCCTTCAAAACCAGAGATGT